GGGGAGGAGAGCAGAGTGATGAAGCCAGTTCAGAGATGGGGTAACACCCCTACTCTTTTAAAAAATCTTGCTGGTATCTTTAATGACAACGGAGAGGCATGACCTAGTTTTTTACATCTCATCAGAAGGATGGTGCTTTTTTCCCAGTATAGTCTCCCTATCACCATACTGGGGCATTACGACCAACACAGACCACAGCGCGAGTGCTCCCTACTGGGCCCAGTAACACCTCTTCCAGAAGCAATCTTAGCTTTCCCATCCAGGTACTGACCAGGCTCAAACCTGCTGAGCTTCAGTGGGCTACCAATTGTGAGTTGCAGGGTGATAAAATTTATATTTTAAGGTTAAGGTTTAATTTAACTTAAATCAATCAATTTTACCGGAGCCCCTGCAATTGACAAAAAAATCTTCAAATACAAAAATTAGGATACAGTAGTTTCCTTCTTTAGGAATGTTCAAGACATTACTACATTGAAAATCTGCTAAAATTATGATGAAATGATAGTGATTGAATGGAGGCTTAATTCCATTATTTAATTCTACTCCTACTGCTTTCTGATGAGGACTTTCAAAACCCATGAGAAAAATTTCCTGAAATTTGAGATAAATAGGCACTGTAGCCTTAATACAGAAATATCCATCCTCTACACCATTCATCAATTTTCCCCACCATGAGCCTAATCTGGCAAACAGTGGGTGCAAGATGGGATACATCCTAATATATATAACAGATATATTCTAAAAATAACATTTAAAGTTTAACTGAAGGATATACAAAATTGTCCATCTAAAATGTATATACAACCATGACAATGCGAGTCAAAACCTGCTTCCTAAGATTTTGTGTGTGTGGGGGGGGGGGGTTCCATAAATGGGGAGGATCCAACTGGTGCTCTATTTAAGGGCAGCTTGTCATGTGAATTAAGGCTTAAAAGAAAGCTGAAAGCTGCTGAAAAGCTTTTACCCTCTATACGTTGTAAAATAATAACTATGGCAACATTTACTTACAAAGTGTCAGTGACCACAGGTAACATAGATTATGCTGGAACCAATGACTATGTTTATATCACCCTGATAGGCACTGATGACAGGAGCGAGACTTTCACACTGGACAACTGGGGCAATGATCGTGTGCGTGGAGCTGTGAGTATCTTTAAATACTATTCATCTTCTTTCACATTTTCTCATTATTCAGCAAATGGTAGAATACGTCCATGGAACTAACACCAAGAATTTGGTTTTTGCAAGCCTCACATTACTTTGAAAGTTAAACCAATATAATGTTTTATGAAAGTCTAAGTCAGTTTGTTCAGAAATTTGAATACTGATCTGTCCTAAATCTGATAAAAGTCTCTATTCTCTTTCTGTTCCATCGTCTAAACATTCAATATTTAGCCAATATTGGAGGGATGGGTTTGTATTCCACCTATCTGTGATTTTTGTTGATGTTATGTGATATATTGTAAGATTTCAAGTGTGATTTTCAAATGTTTCCTTTGAAATAGGATTTCTCAGGTTTTAAAAGTACAATTACAAACATTTTGAGAATTAAGCTGCATCACATCTGTACAAAACTAATATTTTATCAACTACAATAAAAAAAGAACAGATAAAACAATAATCAAACAATGAAGAAACATTGTAAACAACAACTAAATTAGATGACAGATTTCAAAAACGTTTTTTAAAAGGTGGTTTTAAGGAATAAACAAAGGTTCTATTTGTGTCTTCTGGTCCTGAGGAACTTCCCAGAGATTGAACCGAGTTGAATCTGTCAATGCCTTTGAGGTCAAAATAATGTTTCTATCAAGCAAAGTCAACAAAATGTCTCAAACATTTTTTGGCATTTAAACAGGAAATACCCATTGCAAATTAGATACTATATTCTCTAAAGGAACAAGTAATAGGTTTATTCCATGCTGAAAAAAAAGAAGAAAAAAACATGTTAAGGTGTTTTTTTTTCTTCTTTTTTTCAGCATGGAATAAACATATTACTTGTTCCTTTGCAGCCTACACATGCTGACGCAGCTACCCACCTGAACTACTATATTCTCTATACTGGCTTAGAGAAAGACTAAACATGAAAACAAAACAACCACATTAGAACAGTGTTTGTATTTTTTTACAGACTGATGTGTACAGCATAACTTGCAAAAAACTGGGGGACCTTGTCCTGGTCAGGCTAGAAAAGACATCTTTTCTATGTTGAGATGACTGGTTCTGTTCGATGGTGAAAGTGGAGTTTGAGGAGAAAACCTACAACTTCCCTTGTTATAGATGGCTGAAGGGGAAAGAGTGCCTTGAGCTGAGAGAGGGCAAAGGTGTTTATCACCTTTATAAATGAGATTTTATAGGTTTAAATGTTTTCTATTGTTTCCTGTACTACTTAGAGTACAGTAGTAGTACACTGCATTACTTCACAGTGAAATCAATAGGCAGATGTTTATTTGAATAGAAACAGGCCAATAGTTCATCAGGCGGTCCGCGGTATTGTGTACAGGCGTTCGAAGCTGGTGTATGCCTTAATTGCGCGTGGAGTTTTTGAACGGGTTTTGGACCCTTACCGCGAAGTTCAGGACTGGTGTGGGCCTTA